TTCCTTCCTTCCTTCCTTCCTTCCTTCCTTCCTTCCTTCCTTCCTTCCTTCCTTTTTTGGTTTCTGAGACAGGGTTTCTCTGTGTAGCCTTGGTTGTCCCGGAACTCACTCTGTAGACCAGGCTGGCCTTGAACTCACAGAGCCACTGCCTCCTGAGTGCTGGGATTAAAGGGGTGCTCCACCACCACCCAGCCTAACTTCTCTTCTTAAGTTACACTTGATGTATTTTGTGTGTGAGTTTGCGCGTGTGTATGAATGTGTAAGGGTTCAGAAGGCAACTTGTAGAAGCTGGTTTTCTCTTTCTGCCATGCGGGTTCCAGGGTTCCAGCTCAGGCTGTCTAGGTTGGTGGCAAGTACGTTCATCTGCTGAGTCTTAGGCCCACCCCTCTTGCAGGTACAAGAGCTGCAGGGCCAGTGGCAGGAAGAGGCCATGAAGGCTGAGAAGTGGCTGTTTGAGTGCCGAAACCTAGAGGAGAAGTGTGACCTGGTGACAAAGGAGAAGGAGGTAGGGCTTGAGCCTGCAGCCCAGGCTCACCCTGCGTGTCCTGGGCTAGCCCATTTCCCAGGAGGTCCGACTGGCATCTTGCATCCCGCCCCTGTAGCGGCTGTTGGCGGAGAGGGACTCCCTGAGGGAAGCCAATGAAGAGCTCCGCTGCGCCCAGCTGCAGCCAAGGGGATTGACTCAAGCTGGTGAGCTTCAGCTCAGGGTTGGGGTGGCCTGGGCCTGTGCTTGAGTCCTCAGGGATCGTCCCTGAGAAGAGAGCCCCAGGAAGGGGACCTGAAGATTTCTTTTCTTCAGACCTGTCGCTGGATCCTACCCCTTCTGGACCAGAAAACTTGGCAGCAGAGATCATGCCTGCAGAGCTCAGGTATATTGAGACCCTTTAAGGCGCTGGACCCATCCAGGTCAGGCAAGGTTCTTCCTCAGCCCACTCTCGGAGTGCAAGCCTACCGCTGGTCTTGGTTGCCTGGCTTAAACTTCCCCGTTCCTGCTTCTGCTCTGCTCTGGCCAAGAGCTTTTGTTTAGTACACAAATGAAATCCAACCCATGTGGCTTCGTATCCTAGCCCTGTTTGCTTTGACCTGAGTGAGACCCAGGTTCCAGCCCTGGCAGCCCCTACTCGGTCCGGTTCCTTCTGCTCTGCTCTAGTAACTCCCACCCCCGCTCTGACTGTTTGCATAGTTGGGCGCAAATGTTTTAATCCCCCACCCTCACACACCTCCTTTGGAGCCCCGCCCCCTTTGATTTCTCTCCTTAGTCCTCCATCCACCTTGCCCAGGGCAGCCCCCAAAGCCAGAGCCACCGGCGCCAGGCCAGGTCCTCAGTACGCCTACCCCAAGGCTGGGCTCTTTTCAAGGCAGCAATCGGCCCGGAGTTTCACCTAATGGGCCGTCTGTCCAGGAACACAGCCCCACTCGCTTCTCCCTGTTCCTCAGAGAGACGCTCCTGCGGCTTCAACTGGAGAACAAGCGTCTGTGCCAGCAGGAGGCCGCGGACCGGGAGAGACAGGAGGAGCTGCAGCGCCACCTGGAGGAGGCCAACCGGGCACGCCATGGGCTGGAGACGCAGCACCGGTAAGAATCCTAGACAGCTTGTTCGGAAGAGAGATCTACAAGCTGACCAAGTGCAAGTCCTGAGCACCCTTCCCCGCCAGGCTGAACCAGCAGCAGCTGTCTGAGCTAAGGGCCCAGGTGGAAGATCTACAGAAGGCCTTGCAGGAGCAAGGGGCCAAAACTGAGGATGTGAGTGTCCACCTCTTCCCTGCCTGGCCCTCTCTTGTGCTCCCCAGTAATCCTCCTTTCTCCTCACCCCCCTGCTGCCCGATGCCCAATGAAGGCCACTGTGAGTACCACGGGGCCCGGGAGGCACACCACCGTTACCCACACAGGTTTTCAGACCTTGTTCCGCCGCCTCACTCCCTGCTGCTTCTCTCCCCCAGCCCACCCTGCTGAAGAGGAAGCTGGAGGATCATCTGTAAGTGTGGAGAGCTGGCACTCCTGTAGTGGGAACCCCTGGGGCAGAGGTGTGGAGAATTGTTGGTCAATAGATCGATCAACCCAAGTCAAGCACAGTCTTTTTTTTTGAGAGGGATGTTGTGTAACTGAAGCTGGCTTGAATTCCTGACCCTCCTTCCTCTCTGTCTCCCAAGTGCTGTGTAATTTATTGATTTTATGTATGAGTGTTTTGCCTGCATGTCTACCACTGTGTCCATGGAGTTCAGAAGAAGGCCTCCCACCCCCTGGGAGAGCTGTGAGCCACCATGGGTGCTAGGAACCATACTTGGCATCCTCTTCAAGAACAGAGAGGATCTTACCCCTCCCTGCTTTTTTTAAAGATTTGTTTTATTTATTATTTAGTGTTCTGCCTGCGTGCCAGAAGAGGGCACCAGATCTCACTATAGATGGTTGTGAGCCACCATGTGGTTGCTGGGAATTGAACTCAGGACCTCTGGAAGAGCAGCTAGTGCTCTTAACCTCTGAGCCATCTCCAGCCCTTAACTCCCTATTTTATCTTATTATAAAACAAGTTCTTCCTGTGGCTTAGATTGGCCTAGGATTTGTAATCCTCCTGGCTCAAACTCTTTTCTGTTATATGCATAGCATTCACCATTATTTCTGGCCCAGAATGTCTTTGAGGAAAAAAAAAAAATAGGGGCTGGTATGGGCCTGTGATTCCAGCTCAGGAGACAGAAGAAGGAGATCCAGGAGTTTAAGGCCATTTGGGGTTACATGAGACTCAAAAAAAACAAAATGAAACCAACCAAACAAACAAACAAAACCCTCTCCCCGCCCATATACATGCATCTGACTTAGTGGTAGAGCACTGGCCTGGTGAACACAAGGCTCCTGGGTTCATCCATAGAGCCACAAGGAATAAAAAATAAAAATATCCCTGGGGCTGGAGAGACATTTCACTTAAGAGCTCAAGAGGAGCCAAGTTTGAGTCTCAGTCCCATGTCAGGTGGCTCACAACCACCTGTAACTCCAGGTTCAGGAAATCCACACCCTCTTTTGCCTCCCTGGCCCACAAACACCTGTGGCACAGCCCACACAGGCGCACATATAACACACAGAAAATTCTAAAAACAAAACACCAACCCTGGGAGCTGCTGGGTGGAGAATGAAGCTGAGGTATTAAAAGTGGAAGAGGATGAAGGGATGATAAGGACCAGACCAACTTGGGGACCATGGGATGAAGAGATTAGACAGAGCAAGGAGGTCTTGGTGGCCATAATGAAGCTTCTGACTCGCTGGGCTCCTGCTTGGAGAGAAGAGAAGCCAGTGGGACAGAATTGTGTGTCTGCTACAGAGAATCAGCCTAGAGTTAGGTGATCTGCTGGGGTGGCTCAAGAGCAGAGCACTTGTCTAGCGTGGACAAGGCCCTGGAATATATCCACTATACCATGGATGGACAGACGGATGGACAGATGGACAGATGGGCGGGTGGATAGATGGAGATGCCAGCCCAAGGCTATTCCGCTGCTTCCACACCCACAGGCAGAAGCTGCATGAGGCTGATCTGGAGCTGCAGAGGAAACGAGAGTACATTGAGGAGCTGGAGCCTCCCGCTGACAGCAACAGTAAGTGGGAACCAGCAGTAGCCAGGGCTGGAAGGAGGCCAGGGTGCAGCATGGGACTTGAGAACCCTTGTTTGTTCTTCAGCAGCTCGACGGATTGAGGAGCTGCAGGACAGTCTGCAGAAGAAGGATGCAGACTTGCGGGCCATGGAGGAACGATACCGCCGCTATGTGGACAAGGCACGCACGGTGAGGATGCTAGGTGTCCCACTCTTCTGCCTCAGGTCCTACTCCCCACACTTCCCATCACATCAGTTCACTTCTGCCAGTTTGGACATCTCTGCCCTCTGCACTCAACACCTGTCATACCATACTATGTCATATTATAGGCTTCTGCATGCTGCTGCTGCTAAGGGCTATCAAACCCATTGTATCAAAAGGGTCTGCAAAGAAGCTTGGGGCGTCATAGCACAGTGGGAGAGCTTCTGCCTCAAAGCCACCAGTGTGGTGCAGGTGACATGGCTCAGTGATAGAGTACTTGTCTATCATCTACCAGCCAGGGTGGGTATGGGGGTGTGGCTGGGTATGTGGCTTGTAACTACACTTGCCTGGCAGGAGGCCCTGGAGTCTCTAGCATTCCAAAATATAAGTAAATATATAACATAAAGCCAAAGTAAGGGGCCCGAGGGGGTTATTTCCAAATATTCTTCAGGCTTAGATAGGTGGAAAGAAAAGAGTCGGGCATGACTTATTATTATAGTATTAATATACTCCTTTAATCTCAGTATAACTGTTGGTGCTAATTGTAACAGGATTTTCTTGGGCCACCATCTCCCAGTAATGACATGGAGACCTTTTATTATTAATGTTTGGCCTTAGCTTTGGCTTGTTCCCTAACTAGCTCTTGACTTAAATTAACCCCTTTATATCAATCTACTTTTTCTCACGTGGTTCGTTACCTCTTCTCAGTACTGGCCCCTGTTTCTTCCTCCAAGTCTAGCTGGCTACTCTTCCCACACACAATTCTTTCCCAGAGTTCCCATCTCTGCCAGAAGTCCTGCCTATCTCTCCAGCCTTTGCTATTGGCCATTCAGCTCTTTTTTAAACCAATCAGAAAGTGTTGGAGGGATTGTTTACAAAATATGATGCAGCCAAAGAATAACAATACCAAAGTCGGGCCTGTAATCAGATCGCTGCCAGTACAGAAATCACTATTTGAGTAATACAAAGACAGCCTTTACACAGCGCATAAAAAGATCACAGCAACCTTTCAGCACTTGGGAGGTAGAGAGCTAAATCTCCATGAGCCTGAGGTCAGCCAGGCTGCATACTGAGACTCTGTCTCAGGTGGATGGATGGGTGGGTGGGTGGATGGGTGGGTGGGTGGGTGGACAGATAGAAAAAGATCCAGGTATGCTGGTACCTTGTGACCCAAAGGCAGGAGGATCACAAGTTTGAGGCCTGATCTGAATGAGACCTTGTCTTAAATAACAAAATAATGCTATACTATAGCTATGTTACCAAGCATGTGTGAGGCCTTAAGTTCAGTCAGTCCCCAGAACTGCGAAAAGTCACTATTGTTATAATCAAGGTTGCTCTCCTGTGACTTTTTTCTAATCCCTAGGTCATTCAGACCCTGGAACCCAAGCAGCGGCCACCCACTGGAGTGCCCCCGGAATTCCAAACCCTGAGGACACAGCTCTGGGAGAGGAACATGCGGATACGGCAGCTGGAGGTGGGTCTCTCCTCTTCCCTTCAAGCAGCCCTCAGCAGCCCCCAGCCCCTGACTCCTGTCTCCCCGGCAGATGGACTGTGAGAAGAGTCGGAGTCAGCGGGAGCAGGAAGAAAAGCTGCTCATCAGTGCCTGGTACAGCATGGTGAGTGGGCTGCCTCTGGAGCTGCTGTATCAGGTTTACACTGCTCACGTAGGCTCACTGAGCCCCTGCCGATTTTACCATCTCTCTAGGGCATGGCCTTGGAGCAGCGAGCTGGGGAAGAGCAGGCTCCAGCCCATGCCCAGTCCTTCCTGGCACAGCAAAGACTGGCCACCAATGCTCGCCGAGGACCCCTGGGGCGCCTGGCTTCTCTGAGCCTTCGCCACACTGACAAGCACTGACAGACCTCAACTTCCTGCCACCTGCTGGAGCCCTCCAGCTCCTAGGGTCCCTGGTTTGGGACCTTGACCTTGATTGAGGCTATAATTTCTGCCCTTTGATTCCTGAGATGGAAGAGAAGGGAGTGGCAGATAGCAAGTATAGTCCTAACCCTTTTAGCAATGTGATCCTCGATTCTTCCCCGGGGCTTTATGTATTACCTGGGAAGAGCCTGATTTTATATTTGAAAAGAATAAAGACTTTAAATAAAGACTTTATCTGTCATGAGTGGACTCTGGACACCATGGTAAGGAATAAAAAGTGGGCTAGGAACACAGAATTTGCTTTTTTTTTTTTTAATTTTATTTTAACTGTTTATTCTTGTTTTATATGCACCGGTGTTTTGCTTGTATAGTTGTCTGTATGAGGGTGTTGGAGGCCCTGACCTGGAGTTACAAACAGTTGTGAGCTGCCATGTGGGTTCTGGGAATTAAACCTTGGTTCTCTGGAAGAGCAACCAGTGCTCTTAACCACTGAGCCATCTCTACAGCCCCACAGACCTTGCTTTTAAGAAAGACTTGGTTTTTGTTTGTTTGTTTTTCTTTTTTGGTTTTTCGACACGAAACCTTTTCTTTTTTTGGGTTTCTCTGTGTAGCCCTGCCTATCCTGGACTCACTTTGTAGACCAGACTGGCCTCAAACTCATGGAGATCTGCTATAAATATTAACCTTTTTTTTTTTTAAAGTCAGCTGGGAACAGTCACTTCTGCTTTGCTTTTATCTACGTTGTGGGTTTTTTTCTTTCAGCTTTCTCTACCCCTTCTCTTCTACCCTTTCCCCCTCAACACTAGATAAGATAGGAAAAAAGAGAGGAAAGGAAAGAGATCCCCAAGTAAATTTCTGCCGATCTGGGAGCAAATATATTTGCTACTATATATAATTAATATAATATTAATATTATATAAAATTAATATATATATTTGTTTTGTTTGCACATGAGTACTTAACAAACCACAACCCACAACAACCAATGACCAACCAATAACCCTCTGTGCCTTTCCAGGGCCCTGACATTTACATATACTCTAAAAAGTCCCTAGAATTCCAAATGCCACACAATTTTGGAAACTATCTGCTGCTGTCAAAATTATACCCCTGCCAGAGCATGGGGCAAATCATAGTTGGCTGCTGTGGTCAATCTGAAGCAGCCTTGTATTCCACACCTGGGATTAAAATGAAAACATATTTTTAAAATATTTCTGTGTTTTTTTGTTTTTGTTCTTTTAAGAAACCAAAACTCATGCTGGAGAGATGACTCAGAGGTTAGTTAAGAGCACTGGCTGCTCCTCCAGAGGTCCTGAGTTCAATTCCCAGCAACCACATGGTGGCTCACAACCATCTATAGTGAGATCTGGTGCCCTCTTCTGGTGTACATGTAGGCAGAACACTGTACGCATAATAAACAAGTGAATCTTTAAAAGAAAGAAAGAAACCAAAACTCCAAAGTTCTCACTACATTTACCCCTTTCTGTTTTAATTGTGCTGTGTGTAATGTGAAATTATAAGCATTTTCAGAAATAAGTACTTTTTGGATGAGTGGCCAAGGTTTTCAGGAGAGCTCTCCTGCTCTGATCTAATCTTTATCAGTTCCCTGTGCCAAGTCCAGAGCAGCACTGCCCGTAGCATTGTGCATTAGACCTGCAATACTTAGCAGAGGTTCTTTGGTCTGCACGTTACTCCTTGGCTGACAGGAGGCAAACTGCACTTTTGGCTATGGGTCCTCAAGCCAGGCCCCCAAGGCTGTTTCTCATGGCAACAGATTACCTTGAATGTCTCTCTTGAACCTACACTCTTTGGTCCAATGGCAACACATGGCCTGCACACCCCGGGAAGCCTAGGCTTTCTTTCTGGTTTATATTTAGAAAACCCATTGCCCTTACAGATGTCTTGTTCACAGTTTTGTTGCAAATGACCACATTTCCCACTAAGCATTTTATTTTATTTTTGTTTTTTTCAGACAGAGTTTCTCTGTGTAACCTTGGCTGTCCTGGACTTGTTTTGTAGACCAGGCCAACCTCAAACTCACAACGATCCACCGGCCTTGCCTCCTGACTGCTGGGATTAAAGGTATGTGCCACCATGCCTGGCTTGCATCAAGCATTTTGAGATCACTTTTAGTGGCTTGGTTACAGTCTCCTTGCAAACGACTGTTATTTCTCAAATTTGAGGCACCAGGCATTTTGATATGGGACACCTCTAGCTAAATTCTGACCTATGCTATTAGCATGGTACATGTTAGAATCAATATCAGTCTTATCCCTTATCCATTCATCCATAGGCACCCTGCCTTTAATGGTCTAATAACTTGTTTACATTCGGTATTCATTTTTTTCATATTTTTAAATGACAAGATCTCTATCAATATAACAATACCTGCCTTTCTTTCATCTGGGTCTCCCCAACCCCCTTTCGTTTTTCAAGACAAGGTTTCTCTATGTAACAGCATTGGCTGCCCTGAAGCTTGCTCTGTAGACTAGGCTGGCCTCAAACTCAGAGACTCACCTTCCTCTGCTTCTGGAATGCTGGGATTAAAGGTGTGTACTACCACTGCCCCGATAAATAAATCTGTAAAAAAAATAAGATAATGAAACTGGGTGTTGTGGCACATGCATTTAATTCTAGCACCCATAAAGCAGAGGCAAACTGAGGCCCCTGAGTTTGGGGCCAGCCTGGTCTACATATTGAATTCCAGGACAGCCAAAGCTACATAATGAGAACCTTCTTGAAGAAACTAAAATAAAATAGGGGCCATAGAGATCTCAGCAGTTCACTGTCTGCTTGGATTTGATTTGCAGCACCCACAGGGCAGCCCACAACTGTTTGTAGCTCCAGTTCCAGGGAATTCAACTCCTCTTCTGGCCCTGGAGGGAACCTGGCAATCACACAGACATAATGTAGGCAAATACTGATACACGCAAGATAATAATTGCAGCCAGGCAGCGGAGCACATGCCTTTAATCCCAACACTTTGGAGGCAGAAGCAGGTGGATCTCTTAGTTCTACGCTAGCCTGACCTGATCTACAGATGGAGTTCCAGGACAATCAGGACAATGGAGAGAAACTCTATTTCAAAACACTAAAACAACAATAACAAACAAACAAAAAAAAACCCCAAAAACCAAGAAACCCCAAACCACCACCACCACAAAGCAAAACAGTAATTGCCAAACCAAGAGAAAATTTGAGCCAATAAACCTGGGGTTCAGGGACCACCCGGGAATGAGAAAAACAACTGTGATTATTTGAATTGAAGCCAGGTGCAGATAGTTCTTGAAGGGCAGGGTGAACTGTTCTGAGAAACAACCAGCTGTAAACTATACAACCAGCTGTAACCAATCAATGTATAGAGCAAAAGTGGTCTGATTTTCAGGTATAAAAACCCTGTGCTTTGCATGTTCGGGGTCATCTCCTGTCTTTGGAGGGGCGGCCCTATTACAGTTGAAATAAACCTCTTGCTTTTGCATCGAGTTGTAGTCTGTGAATGTTCCTGTGAAGGCTGCGACCCTGAGCTCCTGAGCAGTGAGAGTCTTAGCGGGTATCCGAGGTGTAGCACAGTGGCAGAGCAGCTGAGCTGCCTGGCTTATCTAGGATTCAGGAGGGCCTGGCTGCATCTCCCACCACCACACACACAGGTGCTTGGAGCAAGGGGAAAAACCGTTGCTTTGAGACGGTGGCTACCACATTAATGAGTAGGCCTGAGAAACTAGCTCCATCCAAGTGTTTGTCTAGCACGCTGAAGGCCCTGATCACCAAGCAGCCTTTCTCTATCACCAGTGAATAATACCAAGGGTATACATCAAAACGGAGCGGGGGAGGACTAGAACATCAAGAAAGTTAACACTTAAGGCCGATGCTAGGTAGGCAAGGAAGTGAATGTGAGTTCCAAGACAGTCTAGTGTATATTAGGAGATACAGGCCAGACAGGGCTGCTGCACAGTGATACCCTGTATTCAAAAAAAAAAAAAAAAAAAAGCTAGCCTGGCTAGAAACATCACTTCATTGATAACCATTTATTGGACACCTACTATAAACCAACTGCTTTAAAGACATCATCTCATTTATTTTGTTTTTGTCCTCACAAGTTCATGAGGTAGGCACTCCAGTTCCATGGAAGGGAAGAACACAGGCTACTGGCCAGAAGAAGCAGCCAGTCAGCTGACGGTGCTTGGGAAGCCAATCCACTTAAAGAAGCTGGGAGTAGGAGAGAAAAGAACAAAAAAAAAAAAAGAAGAAAAAAAAGCAATAGCAGCTGGGAGACGGACCCCTAACACCTCCAGCCCAGTGGGAGACACAGCTGGTCAAAACGGGCAGCTCAACTTCCGCAGGCTTAGCTGCAGGCCTTAGTGGTCGCCAGCATACCCAGTGCAGGATTGGATGTCCGTAGGGATCCTGGTCCCAGGGTCTCAGGCCGGACTCTCTTCTTCCTCTCCAATAGGGCTGGGCAGCCAGGGTGGTGCAGGAGCTCGGGGCCCAGGCATGGACACCGTGGTAAAAGGTTCAGCAGTCAGCCCCGGGATGGGCGCAGGCGGCTCAGGACATACCGGAGGCTCCAGCTCCGGCTCCCGCAGGCTGGGGTCGAGCAACGGGTCACCACAGCCGCACTCAACGCCTCCGCCATCCCCTGTGCCGGTACACCCGCAGCTGGCTGCGGTGGACGCCTCTGACACGCAGCTGTTCTTACGCCTTAGGAGAGACAGGCGCCGCCCCAGTGGACCCGCAGAGCCCGTCCCCGCTGGCAGGAGGCGCTGCAGAAAGTCTCCGTGCCCCTCTCCCAGCGGGCCGTCCACGCCATCCAGCCGCTGGAACTGCATGTCCTCTTTAGCCAGCCTAGAGATGGACAGGGGTCTTCACTCGGGCCTTGCTCCTTTGTGTTGATTTATTATCTCATTTTAGTTTTCTGGTCCCCCAACCCCCTCGCCTGGCCCACAGGGTTTGTCTGTGTACTGTTGGCTGTCCTAGAACTTGCTCTGTAGACCAGGCTGGCTTGGGCTTCGAATTTACTGAGATCTGCCAGCCTCTGCCTCCCAAGTCCTAGGAATAAAGGCATCCATCACCGCCGCCCGGCTAGTTTTCTGGTTTTTGTTTTGTTTTTTGCTTTTGTTTGTTTGGTTGGTTTTTTTTTTTCGAGACAGGTTTCTCTGTTTAGCCTTGGCTGTCCTGGACTCACTTTGTAGGCCAGGCTGGTCTCGAACCCACAGAGATTTTCCTGCCTCTATCTCCCCGAGTGCT